GAATGGCACATTTTAATAAATTTGACTTGTTTAAAGTAGGACCAAACAATGAATTAAACTACATCATACAGCTGTTTCGTCCTTCTAGGACATGTCAGTGATGCTACATAATACAGCTGTTTCGTCCTACCAGGACATGTCAATGATGCTACATCATATAGCTGTTTCGTCCTTCTAGGACTCGTCAGTGATGCTACATCATGCAGCTGTTTCGTCCTTCTAGGACTCGTCAGTGATGCTACATCATGCAGCTGTTTCGTCCTTCTAGGACTCGTCAGTGATGCTACATCATGCAGCTGTTTCGTCCTTCTAGGACTCGTCAGTGATGCTACATCATGCAGCTGTTTCGTCCTTCTAGGACATGTCAGTGATACTACATCATGCAGCTGTTTCGTCCTTCTAGGACATGTCAGTGATGCTACTTCATACAGCTGTTCCGTCCTTCTAGGACCTGTCAGTGATGCTACATCATACAGCTGTTTCGTCCATGTAGGACTCGTCACTGAAGCTGAGAGCCTATAGTTTCATGCCTAGGAGGCGACTGAGGAACATCCGAAGTCAATCATAAACTGGACAGGTGTTTTCGAAAATTACTCAAAATTTCTTACGTCAGATAATGCTTTAGCTGTTTATTTCTTGATTCTACTTATAACATATGTTATTGTTGTGAACACCTGATAACGACGAAACATAATCCGAAAACCATATTTCGGTGTAACACCATTGTTAAAGTAAAATGTGCCTGTCGATTTTATAAAACTAGGCCTGACTTGCGATATCATACTGTTCATGTGTTTTGGATTTACTTTTTCATTTTTCCATGTTCTGTTTATTTCCTAGTTATTCTCGTTCCAGAATTTGGAACAAGAAGGAGGAGGAGAAAAATATTCATGCTAAAATAATTTTACAATCCAGCTTTCAGACATATATACCGACATGTCAACATCATCTTTATTCAAACTCCTAATTGATGAAACTAGTGTGAAATATGAATAAACAAAAATTGACATGTAGACTCCTGAACATTACAAAGAGAATACGACCAGATGTTCATGAGGTGTGAGCGTCCTCTGCGTGACCTTCGGCACTCAAAATAAAATCATTAAAGTTAAACCATTGAACATTTTATTAAAATTGAGAATCATAGCCCATTTCACGACTTTCTTGAAGTAAAATTGAAAAAATCGAGAAAAAAACAAAACAAAAACCAAAAAAAAATAGATAAACAAGTAAGAGAAAGAAACATTACAGGTTAAATATTGGTTACACAAAACAATTCAATATGACTTCGAGTTAACAAACTAATTTAATATGTCTTCAGATTGACAAACTAATTTAATATGTCTTCGAGGTGACAAACTAATTTAATATGATTTAAGGTTAAATTAGGCTAGACCAATAAATTCTATATGAATTTATGTTAACAAACTAATTCAATATGTCTTCAGGTTTAATAATTGGATGTACGCATTTAACGGATTTTGATGAAAGAATTGGTTTATCCGTTTAAACAACAAAGAAAACATCGAGTTTTTTTACAGAATCAGAATTCAAACTCAAATCCGATGAAACTACGACAAAATAAGGACAAAAGACAGATTTACACCGAAATTCCGGAAAAAAAACAGGTGGAATAAACTATGTGCTTGGAAGAGTAAGCGTCTTCTGCTTCATCGACACTACCAGCCATATAAATCTTGGTCAATCCCAGAATGTAATGTCACGTTCTCAAGTGAGAACAAAGGAACTAACAGCCTAACTAAGGAGCATCAAACATGTCAAGCTTTATATAGCACAAAGACATAGATTATTTCTCAATGAGATCTCTCTGACGACCGCTAATCTTCATTAACCTGCATCTCTCGAAACCCTGTGTTCCATCATATGAAAAATAGCGTTACTCACTATTGAACAAGAGACACTCAAGTGTATAACGCCATACAATACAAAGTTAAATTAGATACAGTAGAGCCGAAAAATGAATTTAACTTCATCAAACCAAAAAGGCAACTCGTGGATAATTAAAATTGATCGAAAGAAATGTCAGGTCTAGGTTGAGAAGTACACCAGCACTATAATTCAATAAGCGTCGTGATTTGTTAATTTCAAATAGCGAGTACAAATGTATGTTCTGAACCGTGCCACAGTTCGGATGAATTAAAACGTGGCATTCGTGTTACGACAAACCTCGGGGATTAAAAGTCCACCAGCAGTGTCTACCACCTGCAATCTCGAACACTGAGCAAAACATAATGTATCAAACAATCTTATTTCTTTATGTGTGTATCTAAATATGTACAAAGTTTGATCCGTGATTTATTATTTTGTATATATATATATATATATATATATATATATATATATATATATACAGTTATTTGTTATTTTGTGTATACATATAAAGTTTGTTATTTTGTATATATATATATATATATATATCAGTTATTTGTTATTTTGTATATATATATATATACAAAGTATATATATATATTTGTTATTTTGTATATATATATATATATATACAAAGTATGATCAGTGATTTGTTATTTTGTATATATTTTGTATATATATATATATACAAAGTATGATCAGTGATTTGTTATTTTGTATATATATATATATATATACAAAGTATGATCAGTGATTTGTTATTTTGTATATATATATATATACAAAGTATGATCAGTGAGTGTATATATATATGTTATTTTGTTATTTTGTATATATATATATATACAAAGTATGATCAGTGATTTGTTATTTTGTATATATATAAAGTATGATCCGTGATTTGTTATGCATGCACATAAAGTGAAATCTTTTAAATATTAGGTTTTAAGTACACAATGTGTAATCGACGATTTGTTAGTTTGCACATCAATCCGTGATGAACTTACACAATGTATCCTCTATATTTAACTCCTTAAGTTTGAATTATTTGTTAGTTTGTTTTATTTCCATGCAAACAAATATATCTGATTCCGGTCATAATGACTTAATGAGATAATTTTCAATTGAGTTTTGAAGATAATTAAATTTTGATCTGTTAAGAAGTAACTTCTGAAGGTTAACTTTCATCACGGCATTGATAACGTTTTGAGTGCATCGCTCAGAATGGATTTCGCATTTTCAAAAATTAATGAACCGAGGTAGTTTTTTGCACTAATTTTAACAGATAATTATTTTGTTCTGTCCCAAACAGTAAAACATATTCATTTCTCACACAAGTCATCGATCCGTCTAAAACTTGATGCTGTAAAAATATAATTTTAATACTGTGCGAAAACATCATTTTTTTCCATACACAGTACAGTCCGAGATTTTTGAGGAAGGTAAAAAAATGAACAGAGAAAGATTCGTCCTTTTATTTCTGTTCTTAAAGACATTTCAAATCCAAATTGTTAGACTTATCAATAAACCCACAAGAAACCCTTGTTTGTTGTTGTTGTCATTTGGATATTATGGTTTCATTATTGTTTTATTTTGTTACTTTAACGTTGTGGAGAGATTCTGTTTTCCGGTGTTTTCCAGGATGTAATCAAATAAATAAAAACAAAAACAACAACAACGAAAACTCCGCCGAAACTGGAATAAATAGATTTAGGGCTATAATCTTTGGTACTTCCGTGAAAAATACTTTCCACTTGTTACAAATCTTTTGGTAAAATTCGAGAAAAACCAGATCCATCGAAGGGAAAAACTGTATTGTAAATAGTTAACTGTCTCATTAATAAGTTGCAGATGCTGAAATAATACTAAACACACTTATTTTTAATAAATTTGTTAAAATCAAATAAAATTAAGTCATGGAATGACTTACATTTGTCTTTTAACAATTTCTTTTTCATTTTGTGAGTGTCGACTTGCCGCATAAAAGTAGTCGAGTATTATCTTTTTTAAAAATCGAACACATGTTCTCATGTGCCGCGGGATAAAATACCACGATACGCGTACAAACCAATTATCGGGTCAGTAATGGTTATGTGGAAGTAGATCAGTGATACGGATTCAGTACAAGGAATGTGTGAAGAAACAGAACTGATCAGATATTAGTTAGACGAAACAGCAACGCGTGGTTTATTAATATAAACACACACGTGTGTCTGGATGTCAATACGCTCATTCGCATGTCAGCATGCTTTTCAATTAAATGATTAACTTAATCTGTCCTCATGCTCCGATGCATGCATAAGTGACTTGTCACAGCGAGCAACATCCGTCTCTTTTTTCATCGTCATAAACATCGTTATTGTTCTTCTCTCTCAAAGTCAAACTGCTGAATCGGATAAGCAGTCAGATGGAGATGCTGCGTGTCAGTTGTCACGTTTTTGTAAATACACTGAATGGTACTCAACAGACTGCCGATAGGGATCAAGTGACCACTGACTGACCAGACCGAGTACAGGAACACAGCTTTCTATACAATATCTGCATTACACACAGTAGCATATATATGCGTGAGTTATATGAATGTGTAATATTATTCAAACACAAATCGCCAGCAGCTGAATCTATTGACGAAGCAAACGCTAGGAAATCTGGTGATCTCCACTCTTATCTATGTATGAATTGTATGTATTACCGATGCATATAGGGACCCAGCGTTTGTCGGAGTTCTCGACATGTAGCGGTCATAGTGCTAGTTGAATCAATAGCGAATTATCCCAGCGAGCTCTCGCATCATGCATCGTTCCTTTTCCGTGGCTGAAATTAGCGCCGTAAACAGGGTGACTCTATTCGATTTCAACATATTGATTTCCTAGAATATATCCATATTGAGAACCTAAGCGAAAAGACAGCGGAACAAGGCAATTCGAAAGACACGTCCGAATCGACTATTCTCGAAAATCAACCCTAGTTGCGTTTTTTTCCTCTCTCTCTTTCACCCACTAACAACCAAAACTTAGTGTTGTCTTGCTTCGCGTGTGTGGTGTGGCTGTACAGCTATAGAAAGGAGCTGTAGACTGAGCGGCAAAAGGTAACATACTGAACGACGCACAATCAATGTTAAAATACTGGCCCAGCTGACACAGGAATGCACAGATAAAATATGAAATCTGCTTGCATTTAGTTGTCTATCAAACTCTTTTTCACGCATAATGCAGTCTGTTCAAATGTCATCAGACAAATTTTCTGAATTGGAAAGCTAGCACTAAGAGATCAACATGTGCCTTCACATACGCATGCGCAAATGATGCGAGTAATTGAGGGGAATGGAAAGATGGCGGTGACCTACAGATCTAGAGCTTATTTTGTATATTCAACATGTGTGATGTGCCGGCGGAGCTACAGGGGATAGATATAAACCAAACAAAGGCTAGCGGATTCGATGTGAACTGGAAGTTAAGTAGGTATGTCGCTTGTCATTGAGTTCCCTTCGTTCGCCTGGACCAGCACTAGTTTGTTTAGAGTTTGTGAAGAAACGAAGAAGAAAGGAAAAACCATTTATAAGAGGAAAGATATAACACACGGCCTATTCGGAGGACCAGTGCTAGACCGCATTACAGCGATAAGTTGTGATTATTGTCAAAATAAGTTGTTCCAGTTATTTTCCGGGAAGGAATTAAGAGTTTTCACACCAGGTTTTCCGTTTGGATAACTGGATGAGTAATTACGTCAGGTTTCGCGTCAACACTTTAATGCTTTTCTTAAATTTTCAACCATTTTTCTCATCTTTTTCTGAACTATGACATTGGGTCATGTGGCAAGCTCGCTATACGAAAAGCCGAGTTCACCTTACAAAAATACCTTTAATCCCAGAAGCATTGTTACGACTTGTCTCCTTCTGTTGATCTGGTTTGTTCATGGTTGTTTAAATATTCTCCACTCGGAATCAAAATTGCTCTCCCACCCCTCCACCAGCTTGTGCGAGATCAGGAACGATGGGGAGAGTTCAAGTTCCTCAATCGTTAACCGGTCCCAGTGCCTTGATCTTAATTCTCAATTCAGTGAAAGTATTTGCAATATTAGTGAAACACACAGAACACAGGAAATACGGAAGTACCGTTTAAATTTCTGTAAAGAATATTCGGTGTTCTCGGTGATTCCAAACAAGGATATAGTTAACGAAATCGAGCATACTGGTTGTTTAAATTATCTTCAGAAAATCATTCTTTTGGACCAGGAGGTTGAAAATATGTATGAGGAATTTAAACAAATAATGTTCAAATTTGACTGTTCCCGGACCCAGTATTCGGTGAAATGGACATGTGTTGATTGCGAGGTAGGTAATGATTTTACTACAGAATGATGTAATGCTTTATTTCCTTACAGCTGTGACCTATGTATGTTACACATGTGACCACCTAAAACACGTGTTATCTGGTGTCAACTGTGTTTGTAGATCTACTCATGTTTACACAAAAAGTTTTGTTATGATCCGATTTAGAGAACACGAAAATAACTCGACATAAGATGTATGTAGGCTGAGCGGCACTGTTACTTAACCATGGGGATAGGTACATACATCTGAAACTTTGTCAGTTGTGGAATTAAGTAACCAGTGTCTGACCGGGGATGTCTGACTGTAGGACACTTGTATGTCTGACTGTAGGACACTTGTATGTCTGACTGTAGGACACTTGTATGTCTGACTGTAGGACACTTGTATGTCTGACTGTAGGACACTTGTATGTCTGACTGTAGGACACTTGTATGTCTGACTGTAGGACACTTGTATGTCTGACTGTAGGACACTTGTATGTCTGACCGTATATGTCTGACTGTGGTACACTTGTATGTCTGACTGTGGTACACTTGTATGTCTGACTGTAGGACACTTGTATGTCTGACTGTAGGACACTTGTATGTCTGACTGTAGGACACTTGTATGTCTGACTGTATATGTCTGACTGTGGTACACTTGTATGTCTGACTGTGGTACACTTGTATGTCTGACTGTAGGACACTTGTATGTCTGACTGTAGGACACTTGTATGTCCGACTGTGGTACACTTGTATGTCTGACTGTAGGACACTTGTATGTCTGACTGTGGTACACTTTTATGTCTGACTGTAGGACACTTGTATGTCCGACTGTGGTACACTTGTATGTCTGACTGTAGGACACTTGTATGTCTGACTGTAGGACACTTGTATGTCTGACTGTAGGACACTTGTATGTCTGACCGTATATGTCTGACTGTGGTACACTTGTATGTCTGACTGTGGTACACTTGTATGTCTGACTGTAGGACACTTGTATGTCTGACTGTAGGACACTTGTATGTCTGACTGTAGGGCACTTGTATGTCTGACCGTATATGTCTGACTGTGGTACACTTGTATGTCTGACTGTGGTACACTTGTATGTCTGACTGTAGGACACTTGTATGTCTGACTGTAGGACACTTGTATGTCTGACTGTGGTACACTTGTATGTCTGACTGTGGTACACTTTTATGTCTGACTGTAGGACACTTGTATGTCCGACTGTGGTACACTTGTATGTCTGACTGTAGGACATTTGTATGTCCAACTGTGGTACACTTGTATGTCTGACTGTAGGACACTTGTATGTCCGACTGTGGTACACTTGTATGTCTGATTGTAGGACACTTGTATGTCTGACCGTGTATGTCTGACTGTAGGACACTTGTATGTCTGACTTTAGGACACTTGTATGTCTGACTGTGGTACACTCGATGTCTGACTGTAGAACACTTGTATGTCTGACTGTAGGACACTTGTATGTCTGACTCTGGTACACTTGTATGTCTGACTGTAGGACACTTGTATGTCTGACCGTGTATGTCTGACTGTAGGACTCTTGTATGTCTGACTGTGGTACACTTGTATGTCTGACTGTGGTACACTTGTATGTCTGACTGTAGGACACTTGTATGTCTGACTGTAGGACACTTGTATGTCTGACTGTAGGACACTTGTATGTCTGACTGTAGGACACTTGTATGTCTGACTGTGGTACACTTGTATGTCTGACTGTAGAACACTTGTATGTCTGACTGTAGGACACTTGTGTGTCTGACCGTGTATGTCTGACTGTAGGACACTTGTATGTCTGACTGTAGGACACTTGTATGTCTGACTATAGGACACTTGTATGTCTGACTGTAGGACACTTGTATGTCTGACCGTGTATGTCTGACTGTAGGACACTTGTATGTCTGACTGTGGTACACTTGTATGTCTGACTGTAGGACACTTGTATGTCTGACTGTAGGACACTTGTATGTCTGACTATAGGACACTTGTATGTCTGACTGTAGGACACTTGCATGTACGACTGTGGTACACTTGTATGTCTGACTGTAGGACACTTGTATGTCTGACTGTGGTACACTTGTATGTCTGACTGTGGTACACTTGTATGTCTGACTGTAGGACACTTGTACGTCTGACCGTGTATGTCTGACTGTAGGACACTTGTATGTCTGACTGTGGTACACTTGTATGTCTGACCTTGTATGTCTGACTATAGGACACTTGTATGTCTGACTGTAGGACACTTGTATGTTTGACTGTGGTACACTTGTATGTCTGACTGTGGTACACTTGTATGTCTGACTGTAGGACATTTGTATGTCTGACTGTGGTACACTTGTATGTCTGACTGTGGTACACTTGTATGTCTGACTGTAGGACACCTGTATGTCTGATTGTGGTACACTTGTATGTCTGAATGTGATGCACTTGTGTCTGACTGTAGTACACTCTTGTGGGATTGAAAACATCTGACGCCCGACATTCGGAAGACATGTACATGTGTCTTTTGGAACACATGTTCGTCAAAATTTACGACCTGGACGTCCGACTGTTGCAGCACTTGTATGTATGCATGTTGGAACGCATGTGCTTCTGACTGTGGAGCACAACATGCTCATCTAACTGAAAGGGCGTCTGTATATCTGACTATGGGAGCACCTGTGCGTCTGAATGTGGAACATATGTAGATATGATCGTTGAAGCACTCGTGTATCTGTCTGGGAACTACTGTCCTTCTGACTGGGAACACTGTTATATTTGACTGGAATGACATCTGTCTATCTGTATGGGAAATTCTGGGCGTCTAAATGTGGGAACATATGTACGTATGACCGTGAGAACACATGTACACCTGTCATTGGGAACACATGTCCGTCTAACTGGGAACACTTGTGCGTCCGTTTTAGGGAACACGTGTATATCCTACTGTGATATCTGACTGTAGGAACACCTGTATATCTTATTGTGGGAACACTTTTACATCTGACTTGAGGAACACATGTACATCTTGCTTTATGAACACTTGTGTATGGAAACACTTGTATATCTGATTTAGGGAACACCTGTATATTTTACTGTGGGAACACTTGAACGTCTAAGTGAGGGACCATCTGTTCATTTGACTGTAGGAACACATGCACGTTTGACTGTGGGAACACCTGTACATCTTGGGGTCCAACGTTATTTGAAATTTCTCTTTTTTGCGTGTTTGTTTGAAACGTCCTTTGCCCCACTAACAAGCCTTAAGATAACCTCACAATTACATGTTTTGTAATTTATGATATTATGATATAACTGAAAATGTACAATTTCAAGATGAACTGCTGGCAGATTTTAGTTGACAAACAGTAGCATATTTCTTTGTCAAACGACACACGTTATCAAGTGATTACTGAAGCGTGACCGATTAAATATGAAATATCAATCACATGGGCCTATTAATGGAGCGTTTTATTTCAGTTAATGAATTGTGACGTCATTCCTTTGGTGACAAATGTTCGAATTTTGATCTTACAAAACTCAATAGAGTTGGAGCGACGAAGTTAGTTAAGTAAATTGTGCTTAGAGGTCTAATTGTTTCAAAATCCGCTGTGCTTAACGTTTTATAACCGGTAGAATCTATGGCGATGTTAAGTGATGACGTCAGAGGTTACACAAAGTGTAATCTACAGCATATCTAGATATATAACTATATAGGTATACACCTTCCCCGTGCTTGCATGTAATTCACACAATCTAAGTTTTGTAAATAAGACTTCTAAAGAAGTTGCGTTTCTCTGACACCATGTGGATGAGGATTCCAGTGATACATATGCTGGTCTTACCTTCTTGATGTTTAAGATATTACGATTTTGAAACACTTTATTTTGCTACAAGGACCTGTGAAATGAGACGTATGTATAAAACTCCTGAGCGAAGAGATAGTAAGTAATTCATATCGCTACAGTGGCTGTTTCTTACAACGGTACACACACATAGCGCAGACCTAAACACACGTCTTTCATGTGTACACGTACTCCGATACTCAAGCATGCCACCTGAAGCTCCGCGCGTTAAACTCCTGAAGTAGTAGGTTGTGTGTGAAGGGGGAAAGGAAGGAACTCGTTTACCGACCTCTTACTCTGTGTTGTGTTGTCTACATCTACACAAATCTAAAGCTATCGTGATTATAGACACATCAGATCCTGTCAAACCATTGGCATTCACATCAAGCGCCCTTCGTGTGCTCAGCAGACAGTGCTACCTATTAGAAGACACGACATAGTTCTTTGTGTGACCAAGACTAAAGAGTCGTCTGTCAGCGGATCGATTTTCGTCAATAACACAAAACAATAATTACAAAGAGTGTTTAGAGCTGTCAATAAACACACTATTTATATCTATATGGAAAGTCAGAAAGTACAAGAACAAAACATTCATGTTTTCTCTTGAATTATTACAACAGGAAGACAGCTGTATAGCAAAAGATGACGTCACAAACGCCGAACCATTATCTATGACTTGTTGTAGTATCTAGAGCACGTGCTGTGTGATCCTCCTGCGCTATTCTAGTGGAAAATTATTCACCATACCAATACCTTGTTTCTCCCCCAATTAAACGAGTATATGCGTAAAACATTTGCTAATTCTGTATTGCGTACCGGAAACTATTGACAGCTCGTGCATAAATAGATTCCACCTCCACACGAGAAAGAGTTCTGAGTGAAGTGTAGCTATGCCAGTGTGCCTAGCGAGATAAATTTTATGCCAGTATTTTTTTGAGTTTCCACAGGGAAGTGATTTATGTTGTTAATCTTCATAAGATTACAGAACAAAAAGAAATTTGATTTATTTTCTTGCACGAATGTCAGTCATTTTTTATATGTAACAAACAGGATAGATTAAATCAATTTCCAGAATAACGTTACATTTATTTACTAGAACTTTTGAAATACGATCCGAAGATTTTGAAATAGCCGTTAGAAGCCAGTGTTTTGGTGTAACAGGAACTCCAAATGA